GCTCCTTATAAAAAAATCTACCAGGAGTAACTCACAGGGACTCCACACTAATTACCTCTCAAAGGCTCCCTCTTAATCTCACAGTCAGACTAAGTTTCTTCTTTTTACCTTTATAATACAACCAAATTCGAATGATGAACTTTCGGGGGACACATTCAAATCATAGTAGTTAACATTAGAGTCACTAGAGTCAGCAATAATAGTGTCATCAGTGACCTAAGAAAAGACAATCAACTGGAGTTTAGGTATTAGTTTAAGAGATACAGAGATGAAGAAAGGGGTGTGTATATGTAAGAGTACACACTTAGGTAAACTTTAAATGATGATAGAGGAAGAGATTTCTAAAAGGAGAAACTTGAGGATAGGTGAACAAATAGTATAACTGATGCATTTATGATTCTGTAAAGTTGGGAGAGTAAGCTATTAAAACAAAGTTGGCAAAATCAGCCATACGGAGAAAAAAATGTATAGTGTCGGGAACCAGCAGTTAGCGTAATGGCTATGTCGCTGGACTCCCACGTAGTCGACCGCGGTTCGCGGCCCGGACCCGGTGGCTTAAAACTCACGCCGGGCGCGTGTGAGTGTGTGCCCAAGATCCCGAGAGGAGAATGGAGGAGAAGGGATTGCAGCATGACCATCCCCCCTGGGGGGTGATTTCTCGCTTTCTGTCTCTAATGTCTCTCTCTGTCTGTCTGGCGAGCACACGCGCCCTATAGTGAAAATCTCTCAAAAAAAAAATGTATAGTGTGTCCATTGTGATATACCTAGATGTTGGCCATCACAATAAATAATAGATGTTTAATGACATTTCAATCAAAGAAATACTGAATATTTTATGACAAATTAATAAAAAAGTGATTAGATGACAAAATATACTCTAATGTTTATATTTTAACGTGGAATTAAAATGACATTTCCTAATTTAAAAATTGTGTTTTCTATCCTTTTCTAAGTGGGTTGGAATATGCTGCATAGTTAATTATGTCAATTTTTCCAAAAAATTTTCTTAAGCAGAAGAAAAGTAATTTCGAGGGACCAGCAGATAGTGTAATGGTTATGTTGCTAGACTCCCATATGTTCGACTGCAGTTTGAGTCCCGGACCCACTGGCTTCAAAATCATTCCAGGCACATTTGTGTGCATGTCCAAGATTCCAAGAGGAAAATGAAGAAGTGATTACAGTGTGGCCATCCCCCCCAGGTGGTAGTTTCTTGCTTTCTGTCTCTATCTCTCTCTGTCTTTCTGAAAAGTGCACATGCCCTATAGCAAAAATCTCTCTTAAAAAAAAGAAAAGCAATTTAGAGTTTGGGTGTAAAATGAATTGGGTTAAATATCAGAAGTTTATTACTAAGTGGACAACCTTATGCAAGTAATAAAATCATGAATTAAATAAGTACATTTTATGAGAATGTATTTTAATTGATTTTTCAATAAAATTGTACTGAGATTGCATATTATAGTCTTAGTGATAATCAACTTTCATGATACATCAATTAGCTTTCTTTTGTTTCTTAATTAGATAAATTTAAAATTTAATTTAGGCTCTCTAAATGAGTAGTTTGCACAATTTTCTATATTGTTTGCCATAAAATAGCCAGAGTGATAAAACTGATACTGAACTGAAAACTTTTTCTAAGTTCTTAAAATAAATTTAATATGTTTTTCAAATCCCAGAAAACAAAACATCACTTTTATTAGTGCATAATATGCTATTAAACAGCTAATTGGGGTATTGAAAGAAACCTCTCAATTCAAGAGATTTAAAAAATCTCAGCCATAAATTGTACAAGATTTTCATTTTAAATCTAAGTTACAGGTCTTCAATATCCCCAATATCAGTTACAATAAGATGGGTTAGATGATAGAAGTAAGTTTGAGAACATATTATTGTAATCATTAAGTGAAATCTTTTATCCATGCTCTTTTGAAAAAGTCTATCATTGTAATCCACCATACTTCATTATTTATTATCTATTAATTCCGTTGTCAGAGGGGGTGTATCCACACCAGGGTGAAAGAAAGAAGGAAAGGGAGCGAGAGAGAAATCACCTCCTAATGGAACATGCTCATGCTGAATAGTCTTCCTTTCATTCCTCCATCCCGTTAGAATTTGGGGTACACATGCACATGAGCCTGTTATATTTTTTAAGCTGTCAGGGCCAAGATTTGACCAACAGACAGCCACATACAATCTGACTCCATATGCACAGGGATTAACCACTGAGCAACCAGGCTGTCCCATGGTTATTTATTTATAACAATGTTTCAAGCATGGTAGCTAAAAATGGTGACTTACTCAGTTGACTTCAAGATTTTAAGAGTTTGGGAACCAGCACTTAGCGTAATGGCTATGTCGCTGGACTCCCACATAGTCGACCATGGTTCGTGTCCCGGACCTGGTAGCTTAAAACTCACGCCGGGCGCATGCATGCACATGCGTGCCCAAGATCCCGAGAGGAGAACCGAGGAGAAGGGATTGCGGCGTGACCACCCCCCCTGGGGGGTGATTCCTCGCTTTCTGTCTCTCTGTCTCTCTCTGTCTGTCTGACGAGTGCACGCGCCCTATAGCGAACACCTATAGGTGCCCCCCCCAAAAAAAATGATTTTCTGAGTTTGAGGATGAGACTTTGGCACAGCAGTAAAATATGATAATCTAAAAGACTGGTCCACATGGGACTATACAGAACACGGAGGTGTATAGGTTCCAGGTCGGGCTGAAATCAGAAATGAAGACTTTGTTGAGGGTGTTGTCTTTTTCTAACTCACTCTCTCTCTTTCTGTTTTTCTCCCTTTCTCTGTCACTTATAGAAGAAAAAAACTTTAAGAAAAAAGAATGTGAGAGTTTATGAGATGTTGACAGATATTAAAAGGACCACTATGACATTATTTGAGCTATGAAATACCTTTCAAAAATTTTATATGTGGAAATATCACAGATCAGTATATTTCTATAAGATATAGTCTGGAGCACCATCGATCAAGAGGTTCAATATAGTCATAGGTTTTCCTCTGTTGGAGACTGTAACAACAAATATTACTATGTCAACTGCAATAATAAATTCCAAATTAATACAATCTAAATACAGTACCAAAATA